TCAGTAATTCAGAAAAGGTTCTCTGTTACACTCAGAACGAAAGCATGTGGTGTACGCCCTTTCACAATCACGAACACATTGCTCTAGAATGAATCGTGTCCAACTGCATGCCAGAGCGCAAGTTTTAAATACTGTAAAACAATGGTGTTCACAAGCAGAGTAGCCCATTGTCCTGGAGCCAAAAAAGTACAGGAGGTGTAGTGTGATAAACAACTGGAAATTAAGTAACAAATACCAGTTACCAGTGCGGTCACATAGGTAAGTAAGGATATTCATTCTATGAAGTATTGAACTATTTAAAAGTGTCCAGTAGTATTTTGTTTCTAGGTTTTTCAATATTTCTCACGAGCTCTGCAATGTGGACGGATTCACTGGATTCCTAGGGTGACATTTGGATAAGGAAAGTCAACAAGTGCTACTGATCGTTAGGATTAACCATCTCGGTTGCAAACCTTTCACCAGTAATCAAGGCGATATTATCACAACATACTGATGAAGATGAACCATGTGAAACCAAATGGCAAGCCACTATCTGGATGTTAGGAACTCACCAAGCTGAATTAGGAACTGGTACCACTCAGGACACTCGAATTGAGAGAAATCGAAATCGCTCCATCTCAGTACTACGCCTCTCGAATCACAGAGAAGGCAAATATTGCAGGAATTTGCATTAAGTGTGCTGCAGAATTATTCTGTGTAGATGCTTCACCGAATAAAAATATAGATCTTTAGTTAGCCAACCCCAGCGCGCTTTTTGCCTCTGTTTTCCACAAAATTAGATTGCCCAGGTTTTCTCAATGTGTCTGGCTGTCAACCTGAGCTAAGCAAATAAACATCATTCAGTGCCGTTGTTATTATCCAAAGTATCTTTAGGGATTCTTGTAAGCGAATTCCGGATGGCTCCTTTGAATAAAAGAGATTCGATTTGAGCTGAGGTCCACCCAACAGATTTGCACCACTGCGAATATTAGTCTCAAGAATGACGTGATTCACCATGCAGTACCAATGCCAAACCCACCAATAATTAACGCAGTTGTGCTACATAGCGATTTCAGTCTGCTGACTTGGATTCATGTCCATTTACCACTCATCCAAATGCCTAGCCGGGACTCGACCCCAGAGTTGCTTTCTTATTGGACATGAAGTGATTCACAGTAAACGGGTAAGCCCCATAGTCAAGACGTATACTGTAAAAGGAATGTGCTTGGGAAACATTCAGTTAAATTCAGCTTTGCTGACCCTGATTTTGAAAACGAAATGTTGTAGGTGGTTGGGAATACGGAAAGAGAGAGTGTTCCAAAGCTTTGCAGCTCGGGGAATGAAGGCTTGCCGAAATACACTAGTTCGACTTCTAGGGACAGGGATATGGTTAGAGTGATCTGCCGCCTACATACTAGATGTTCGAGAGAAAGTCATTGGAGAAAGAATTGCCGAAGCGAGTTCTGATGAACAAAAACTAAAATGATAAAAATAGAAACGAGATGGTGAATCATCTTCTGGGAAATGGTCATTCAGCTGCAGAATGTAGGTAAAAGAGGGAAAATTTACAAATTGGATAGTCTTTCTCTGGACACACTCGGAAGAAGTAAAGCGTTGGACAAAGTTCCACCCCTTACATGACCGCAGTATCCAAGAATCGGGTGGATTTGAGCCTTGCCAAAAGAGGAAGTTGATCGGGTGTAAGAGTGCGTCTGGCGCGGAATGGACGGCCCAATTTCAGCGCAGCGCAGGAGAAAAGCTTTAACACAAAGAGGATACCAAGAAAGAGACGAGTATACGGATAAGGATAGTGACCGTGTGGAGCTAAGCTGAGTCAAGCCAAAACTCAGGTGAAAAAAATAAGGAGGACTTCTAATTGGGACGGAAAGCAGCGAGTTTCCAATATGAGTAGTCTGACACTGAATCTGAACGGCAGGAGAAAATTTCCTTTGAAGCATGGGACCGGTTTTGCGGTTTTTGCTGCTCATCAGGTATATGTGGTCAGTACTCACAGCTGTACGTCAGCGTACAACATCTGGCTACCAGCGATCTTCTTATATAAATCGTATGGAGCGTGGATGGGTGAAAGCACGGCCATGTGAACCGACGAAGTAACTTCAGAAGAATCACTCCACAAGATTCAAATGATTATCAAGCCAGAAAGGATAGAAAGTTTTAAAGCCTTCTGATAGGTACTGTTGGTGGAAGCTCAAGCTGAGGTTCATTTTCAGATCAGAATTAAAAAAAATGAACTAAGAACAAAATAATCATAATCGATGTTGGTAGTGGTCCGGCGAGTGATATGATAAGAAAGGGGAAAAAAGGAGAGCTGTATCATCAGCAAAACAGTGATTCGGGTTGGGGATTATTGAAAGGAGTTTAATAATAAACAGAAGATTTACGGTGGGTGCAATTCTGGAACTTTGGGGAACACTAGCATTCACAAGGAACGGCTGACATAGAGCCCAATCGATAGGGTGTGAGATGGTTCTCCTGATGAGGAAATATAACACCAGTGACGCGACAGCCGGAAAGATCCCAAAAGTAGATCTCCATTCCAAACTCAGTCTGGGGCTTGAGAGATAACCAGCTTGACCAAATCAGTTTCTCCGTGGTTACTGAAGCGCGGAATATCAGAGCAAAAAAACGACGCGATTCGGTCAACCGATCGTGAGCCGTAAACCAACGGAGTGATAGCGAATATGTCAGAGGCATTCCGAAGCAGAATGAAGGAAGCAAAAGGACTTGAAGAAGACAAAATAGCTTGGTCTCAGGAAACAACCAAGATAACACCGATGGCGGATTACAGGTCACGTAGTCAACCGGAACAAGGGGACCAGCCGAGCAGAAATGGTGCCCCAAAAAATAAAGATAATGGTCACAAGCTACTGACAAGAATGCAGCCAAAATACTCAGACAGCAACAATATCATTGTTGGTGCAGTGTGGTCCTGAAAAAAGGGTCATATAAACGATTATACGCGTTTCAAAAACTTGACTTGTTTGGCCGTACACATACAAGCGTCCTCACCCGTCTTGCGCTCACCTTTATATTATCAAGTGCAGCCGACTAGAAGAGCGAAAAGACCAATATTTGGTCGCCAGTAGAAAGACACCGGTGAAATCCATATTGAGCATCCCTCAGCAGACTTTCACTTTCAAAGAGTGGACGCTATTGGTAGGAGATAACCGTTTTGAAAGCTTTCCAATGTAAACGAGTGAGGGCGATGGGACAAAGGTCGTTGGGGTCGGAAGGGTCACCATGTTGAGGGTGAGGATAAATAATGGCCTACTTTCACGCAGGAGGAAATGTTTTCTGGCTGAAGATGAAACGAATAAACGAAAAACGGGACTTATTATGCGGCACACATTTTTAGGAAGGTAGGCAGAATGCCGTCCGGACCGTGTGATTTGGGAACATCCAAGTTACGCATAACCTGGAGAACCCTTTCGGTGGTTAGGGCAGGAAGAAGAACGCAGCTGATAAAATGAGAGAAAGATAGAGGTGTAATGATGACAGATACAAAGGAATTTAGGACAAAATGAGAGACAAATCTTTGTCCTTATGGAAGGGGTCCGACACCAGAGAATGGGAAGAATTTGAAATTGGAGGACTTTAGGAAGGTCGAATACCACGAGAAACCGCTTTTTAAAGTGACCACAATGACCATCTATCGGTAGTGGATGAGGCTTGTTGTTTAGCTTTTTCTTTTATAGCTCGTTTTAATGAGCGAGCAGTTGCTTATCACTGTCAAGATATTTGGTTGGGTGACTGGCACCACCGGCGGTTTACAGAGTTGTTTATACGAACAACACAGTTGCATTCTTGAATAAACCACTCAGGCGAAGTGTGGCCGGGTTTAGAGAATTGAGGAATGCAACATGCATAACTTGAGGCACTGTTCCCGTGAAATAAGAAAAATACATGTTAATATCAGACACAAAACAACAGTCGCACCTAGGATAACAAGAACAGAAATTCATGGAAACCATCCCAGTCAGCTGAAACATAAAGCGGAAAGGTGAGTGTAGGTTTGGGTTTGTGATGTAATGAGAAACTTAGGTCGAAACTGTATGCGGTGGCAAATTTTCGTCACTGACTTCACCACGGTCGTTAGCATAGCAAATGACCCTCGTTGTGGACAAATTAAGTTTGGAGACCCAAGTCCAAAAAGTTATTCCACTATAAACAATCTGCAGAGTCGGGTTCCTACATCAGTGTAAGAAGTTAACTTACTAATACTGGTCGAATTATTCAATTCATCTCACAAATCAAACTAAGCAAGATGAGTAAACGTTGCCGTGTGAGCCTCGATTCCGTTGGCTGAGATGGTTAACCGATCGCCATTTATAGGTTTCAGATATTTTGGTTTCTACCCATCCGTGTCTATCGAATTGATGAAGAAAAGCAGTCTGCTGTATCCCCGGGCATTTGATTTAGGTTAACGTACTGGTTAAAAAACAACTGCTCTTTTCACTCTGTTGTTGCCTAAAAATGAACTAGAAAATCTCATTCAAATATGTCTTTCTTGCAACAATTTTTATCTTACTCGGTAGGTTTTACCGCGGAAGATGAACTACCCTTTGAGCTCGCCGCTGAGAGGCCCTGAACACGTGAAAGTATAAATGTTCCCATCATCACCACGGTCTCGCAATGACCCTGAAGCAGATAATCAGTTCAGTTCATGCAGTCATCAGTCTCGCTATTCGGTGCTCTGCTTTTGGTGGTCACCTCGCGGCACCATCAGTCTGCATGTAAAATGAATATGAACACAAATTACCATACGAAACTCACCTTCGAACTGACCGCTGTCCCTGTCCTATGGTGGCTTTGATGGTGCTTCATCATCGGTCTTCTTTCGGAATAAGTCCTTGACACTACGCTCCCAATGAATCAAGCGGAAAGTGGCCGGCAGCTTTTATTGGACTGGAGGCTGCCAAGAATTAGCGGGCTGTAGCTGCCCAACTAAGTACAGTGACATAAACCACTGTCGAGGGAAATCCCAGGTACTCCACTCGCATGTCCGTTTAGTGGGCGTTCTCGAACCGGTAAATTGCTTCCTTACGTGTTCATTTGTTGAATGTCATGGTGACTACAACCAAATACTGTCCAAACACTAGTTCGGAGAGATTAACTTTGTCTCCCCACTACTCATCAGCCTGTCAAGGCTGATTACTCCTCTAGCTTGTGGAAGCCATTCTGCGTAGATCTTCAGATGGTAGAGGTATAGTCTCAATCATATCAGGCTCAGGTACAGACCCATCGTAATTGTTTGGCCAACAGTGAAATACCTGCATCACCTAGTGCTCGAAAAAAGCATTTTTGCTAATCGAGAAAAGTTGTTCAGGAAAACGCAAAAACATACAAAATGAATGGTTTTCTCAGTTGTTGTGAAGGTAACTAGTGGTAGAACTAATAACCTACGAACTCCATTCTTCTGTAAACACGTAAACAGAAACCCCGGCTGGAACCGCTAAGCAAGAAAGCCAGTAGAAAAATATGAATAAGGCAGAATAACACGTGCTTTCACGAGAAAGCTACAGGTTCATTCAGCTAAGACCAAAGTGCATCAAATGATAAACAGCGAGATCGATCAGCCAAATCTATTCGTGTTGAAGGATTGGTAAAAATGAACAACGTGAAGATGTGTGTTCATCCATGAGTGGAATATTGATCGACTGCCAGTTTAGTAAGTAGGAGTTTACGGTTTTTTCATAGACTTGCCTGGGTAACCTGAGTAAAACACAAGTAATATAAAACTAATGAAAGAATATGTACTGGATGATAGGTGAACTACCACTATCGCACCTAACATGTTGTCAACAGCAAACCGTTGGGTTCTGAGGGCGATTCGTGGTTAAGTAAACTGGTATTGTGAATTATTAAATAAGACAAAAACAGAGAACGTAAACTCCTGAACTGAACAAGAGAGTAATGCATATAATTTTTGAGAAGTAACATCGAATGGTTGTGGATTTGTTCGGTTAATAAATACAAATTTAATTAAGAGGCTGTTGGTTGCCATACTGGAGTTGGATTATTGTAAGTTTAGGATCCTGTTGACGCACAAACTGAGCCTTTGTGCTCATGGAGTTTTTTTTTGTATTTTGCAGATCGAACACGAGCGACCCCATCGGACGACTTTGACCTTACATACTACACTCATCTTTCTCTATTATGGCTGTGAACTGAGATCTGGTTTGACAGCCCAAAGTCTTTATTGGGAAATGTTGTAGTTCTCCAAATCTACGACACAGAAAGCATAAACCAACTTGCAATGCTCTCAAACTACGATATTTGGCTCTCAATCAAAAGAAGATGCTGAAGTTTACACCCATTGTTTATTCGCAAACGGCCTACACACACCTTTTACTCGCCGTTTGCGTTCAGAGTATGGAATCACTATCACAATGAGTGACCCGAGGTTATTTCATTCGTTAACCATCAAATTGCTGAGAACTTTATTGATTGCATGGGTTGCGCTCTTCAATGCTGAATTGAATAAAGGTGTGCGGTCGGAATACACTGAGAAAAATGCACGTGCAATTTCACAGCTAATTTGATCACTTCGGAATCCAACAAGAGGCTAATTGCTCGGAAGGTAAAAAAATATATTCAAGTCAACATGAAATGTTGACTGATGAGACGAATAAACCGTTGTTGACATCGACTTTCGTTCATTTCACTTGGTCATCAATGCATTCGTTGGTTTGATTCAGAGTAAGCTAATCAATCCTGTTTTCAAAGGCTGGTTTCACGAAACAAAAAAAATGATTATCAATCTTCAAACACGCTAGTTGAACAAATGTCAACATTGAGATCCACAAGTCAGACAGCTATTGTTTGTCTAGTCATATATAAGCTAACAGAGTACCTGGTTATATTTGATGTGCAGTGTCATAATGTGGCAACAGAAAACACAACTTATTGAGGAAAACTCTTTATTCAACAAAAACTGCAAAAATGAAGAGGGCTTTTAGGACCTTGGGTTTCCTTATCCTAATCAAAATGCCTCTGTCATCTCTTTTTAATAATGAATAAATATATTACTACTTTCAAAGGGAACCGCCAGCGACAAAACGAATGCCATATACGAACACGTAGACCTGAACAGAATTCCAGGAGAGCAACAAGATGGTCCAAGTTGAAATCAGTAATTCAATATCTGGTTCAGCTAGTACAGTATCATCTCTGTTGTTGCTTCGTCACCGATCAGATCGATAATATTATGGTCTTCACCTAGCGTGCTGGCTGTTTTTTGGATGTTGCCTATTGGGTACCACGATCACGCACGCACAAGCATCATGCATCCGGCAGAACCACCTTATTTTACCACATTTCGAATCACGGCAAATGGTTTTGTTTTGCTGTGCCCAATGCTTGTGCAGCCTGCGATACTCGGTTTCGAGGCTCATTTCCCTGCTTCCGTATGTGCGATCGAACGCAACACCTACATACCGCGTTCTGCAAGATCATACAGAAACGAATGGTACGCACATCCCTGACGAGATATATACAAATCTGGTCCGAATGACAGTCAAGGTGCGTAAGCGCTAACTGCAATGAAAAAAGGCATCTTCTTGAAAAATGCTGTTGCTTGTGAAGAAGATTACGTGGATCACGGTTGGTGAGCGCATGACATAAAATGGAATGTGACTGATCGAAATGCAGTTTAGTGTGCATCTTTCATCTGCTGCATAGAACGTCCCAATTTGGCAGCTGAATGAACCATCAAAGTGGTTCCACGCTAAAAGGTTTTTATTATAGACTTGCTCCATCCAAGACTGCTAGCTGGCTTCACTTCGTCCTTAGGTACTAAAACCTGGCATTATAAGTGCAATCTTACTGGGGACTATCAGTGTACGAATTTAGACGTCAGTGCAGCCAATCTTGGGTGTTGGCCGACCAGTCTTATTCTAGTGTGCTATAAAACCTTTGACATCCTATGTGGTTCCCTGGACAGAAAAAAATATTTATATTTAGAAGTGGTGGAAATTCGTGTTACTTTATTTAAAGATAACTGGAAATATGTCTAGCTTTTTGCTAGGACTGACGGGAAAAGTCGGTGCATATTTCACAAAGTAGTTCTTCAGGTAAAGGAACCTTACTCGAGGTTTCAATTGAGAGTCATATTTTCATCATTTTGCGTAAGAGACATTGTGTATATAAAAACGCCATCGTTCCTCCTTCAACTTCCAAGATGCGACAAAGTTATGCCTAGTGGAGGTATTGGGTAGGAAAGTGAAGTCCGATATGTTTTATTCCGAAATCGGGGCGGACAAAATTGTCGAACTACAGTAGCATTGACAAGTATCATTCAGAATTAAACCATCTGAATTTCCTCATCATGTATGCATCTTTTTTACACATTGTTGTGTTTTTTCAGAGGTTAGAGATAACACTGCATCGAAGTAGACGCTATAAATTACTATTTCGTTGAAGCAACATTGAAAGTAATAATTTGCTAATATACAGTTTGAGGATAGGAGAGAACACAAGATATACATGATGAATACCTGAAAATGGAGTAAATTACGAAATGGCTGACATGCACTGACATAGAAATGGAAAATGTTCGGCACTTCTCTTGTCTGCCTGGTAGGAGTTTTTAAGATTCATTCGCACAGTGAAATGTTATGGTTGGAAGAATGTGAAGGAAATAATAATAAAAAAGAACGAACCGGACAAAGGAAAAAGGCCAAATTGCAACAGTGTGAACTTTATCTAGGTGTGCTATTTATTTTCTACCCAGAGAAGTTATCAATAGGAATAACTTTTTTGGTAAAATTAAAATGAATTGTATATTTGCCTTCTAAACTCTCCTATCTCCATCGGTCATTTGTGTGACTGAGACAGTAGTGAATTTGGTAATCCATTAGTCTATCGGGATACATAAAATGTTCTTTAATACGGCTGGTAAGACTGAAAGCTAAACTCGTTTGCTGTTTCCTTCCATACACGTCCACCAGTATAGGTCCATTTATTGCCTGACAAATTCTACGTAGTTATTGCGAATGACCGCCAGTGGCATCAAAGGAAGATTCAGCTGAGCTGTTGTGGCAGCTGTGTTATGTGAGCAGTTACCAATGTTCCCTAGAGATGAACAAACGGAATAGCAAACACAAAATGCGAATCACTCGCTCACTTATATGATATCTTTCGTACGCATTGCATTTAACTACTAATTACTGTCAGGGCAACACTTTTCCAATTAAGTCTTTCTTCAACAACTTGCACCGCTGAACTCGGTTTAAACACAACACAACACAAAAGCATGGTTTCGCCCATGAACGAAATTCATTTGTTCCAGCTTCATAGTGATTTTCTCCCATTACGCTATTTGAGATCATACTACTGAGTATGCCTGAAAGCCTCTTGGAATTTTGTGTGAACTTACAACTACTAAGATTATTGGGCTAAAATTTCAGTTTCTTCGGAGCCGGATATGCATAAACATGCTATCTTCCATGTGGTTTGCAAGATTCGCTTTTCATTATTTCATTTTACTTTCGGGAAACAAATTGAATCCGACTTACATTCATTGTTTCATCTCAGCAACCACAAGTCATTCCGAGCTGGTTCGATACATCGGCTATATACAGGTTTGCGTGCCCTAAAACCTGATGCTGAAAAGGATACAAACTGTGCGTTCGACAAAATGTATACAATGAACCTAAGTTGACCAATGAGATGCCCCGGATATGAGCTGGTGTTGGTCTTTTCAGATCAAACAGAAAGTATTACCAATCGACAATCCAACAAATGTAACAAGCTTAGTCAACTGATATATTTCAGTTCTGTATTTGTGAGACACTGAGAAACATGTTACAAATCAGAATGACCCACCATTCGATTTGCAACATGTGGAGTGCGCTTTGTGATTTGTGTGCACTGTGCATTTGTGTGTAAGATTGTTACAGAATAGAAGAATGATTCATTTATTGCTCACTTGTTGTTTTCTAACTGCGAGATCATAATAAAAAGATGACTGTTTTACAATGTCGTTTGCAAAATCCAGTTTACTCCTCCTCTGTGATATAACGTCTGGGCATAGTAATATTAATACTTGAAAAGAGATGGTACTGCTTGTTTGTTTATAGTAGAGAAATTCTTTAATAAAAAATCGACTCGGCGCGTGTATTCCTCGCTCACTCGATGCTCCCACCAGATGTGAGAAATGCTTTGGAGGTATGGGTTGTCGAACACATGAAGACACCGGGCATACAAGATGTGATAACCCATCGCGCAGCTTCAGGCATCCATCCCCGACCAAAAGGAAGAATATGTTGTTTTCAACGGTTATTTTCACATTACACTTTACTGAGGAGAGGTTCATCATGGGAGTTCATCGGAAGTGAATGGTAAGTTGAGTGCCAACACATCAAAGGACGGCTAGGCTTTGACAGAGAGTAAGCCTTTACCAATCAGTCCCAGTGGACTATCCGTTGAAAAATTCGTCTGAATGTCTTTCTCTTTTTAATTTCAGTATGGACTCAGTAAATATGCAACGGTGATAATGAACTCAAACAAAGATGAAGCAATTCTGCATCCCTTCTTCCAATTTGCAGTGGTCTGACTAGTTGTTATAGGCACTATAACTCCCTTTATAAATTGTGGTACGTTATAAGCTGAAAGTAATTCAGTGTGTGAGCTTATGAGATTTGAATTTGGAATTTTTCACTGTTCAGAAACTACTTTGTTTTGAACCAGTTTCCGTCGAAATAATCCCCACAATCATTGAGATGCCAAAACCATTCTATAATAACTGCCATCGCTGAAGTAGGGTTCATTCATGTCATTGACAGCTGTCAAGTAGAAAAAAGATCAGTAAGTTACAAATGCATTATATCTTCAAGTAAAGAATTTCAGACAACTGTACCTGAATGCGCCAATGATTCATTCACAGTGCAAATGGGACACTTGTGGTAATATCACTCGAGTTTCAACGAAATTCTGGTAAATTTTTGTCTGAATTCTGGTAGAGGAAAAGGCCTTGAAACGCTGTATTTTTGACACAAACAATGCTTGTGATTACCATTTGCATTCAGGATCAGAAGCAGAAAAAACCCAATCGCGGTCTGTGCTGTATCCAGCTGCATGTGAAAGGACAACATAAACACCATAGAAACCGAAGTGTAGTTCCAATTTGCGTTGGAACTGATCTAAATGTTGAAACAACTTGCGTAAATGCGGATGTTTTGAAGTCAAGAAAACATCCCAGAAACGCCATACCTGGGATTGGGTTGATGAATATCTTCAGGGAACTCTTCAAGTACGATGTAGGTGAAAGTCCCTTTATTCAACACATGTCGCTAGTAGCGCAAGGTTAATTTGGCAATGTATTTACTTTCATGTGTTACAGACACGTTTTTGAAAGTAGAACGAAAGTATGGAGATAAGTGTTTTTCATACTTACTTAGGAAGAAAGTGTTCGGCAGGCTACGTCTCATTGATCGAGAATGTTTTCGAAACAATCTTCACGGCCTTTGTCCAACGAAGCATACATGATTTGATTGTAGGCACGCTTAGCGAAGGTGATGCGGAACAAAATTTCATAATAATGAATGTGGATGAAATACACCTTAAACGTCCCCAGTAGATTAACACATCAAAATGGAGCCTAGTAAATAAGGCAACATATAATAACGACATAGACTTATTTGTTCATTGATCTATGTTACACCGGAAGCGGATAATTATGGTCCACTGCCGTCGAAAGGACCGAGTTTTCCCGGGGAAGGTTTCCTCTGAAATACAAGACGGCTGTAGTAGTCAAACCTAAAAGACTTATACTTCATTGGATTGCGTGAGAGTCCTAAGATAAAGATCTTACCTCTGAAGATGTCCAGCTTAACGCAAAAATCATTTGTTCGAAACAATTGATTCGTCCACGTTTCGTACTTCCGACCCAAGTGAGCTGTCCTCAGCGGAATGTCGAAATTCGATCCCTATTCCTGGTCACATAAATGATCAGAGGTTGAATTTTAGCACGTGTAGACCGAAACAGAGTTCCATATTGGGCAGTAGTCTGTACCTCAGTCCCAATAATTCTATAATATGTTATGCGTTGGCTAGTTGAAATGCAAACAGTCAACTTGGACAGTTCCTCCATTACTCGGTATTTTGATCTTCCTAGTTGAGTATCTCGATTGCAAGATCAATAATAGGGTTAATTTGTAGAAAACAAAACAGAATTACATACGCCAAATAGAGGAATAAATCGAGACCCAATTCTGTCTGCTCATAGTCTCTTGATTATGTGGGCAAGTTATGAAAGGAACCTTTTTGGCATTGGTTTGTGAATTAATTAGATGTATTTTGCTCCGGTTACTAGCTCACTGCCAGTTTATTTTATTTTCCATATGAATGGCTGGACAGTTTATTATGAGATTTACCTATTACGTTGTAAGGTAAAAGAGATGATAGAGAAATCCACACCAATAAGTTGCTGTTTACTGGGGTAGTTTATCTTTACGGCATTCGTCACTCAGCCTGTCCAATTTTCTGGCCGCCATCTCCGACTTTATCAACTGTCAAAGTTTGCTCCCCGACGATTATTATGGTCTCTATAACAGTAAGTCATTACCTTTTTGCATGCAGATCTAACGGCGTTGACCTATGCGAATTGAGGCAAAATAGGGAAGAGCAGAATTTCGTCAGATGATAATACTGAAAGGTACGGATCGGAGGACGCAGCGTGTTGAGGGAATAGTGCTACATTTGAATAGACAGCCGTGTGAAAGTCGAGTGAAGTCGAAAGAGATCTTGAACGCAACATTTTCACTTGTGGCCAGGTAGATTTGATAAAGCTGAGCAGATAAAACATTTTAGAAAACCAAGAGTTCTTGATTGTTGGTGACAGATCTCAGGGGACTCTTCTTCTTACAACAAAAAATAACTGGCAGGAGGTAAAGAATAACAGAAGAAACACTAGAAAGCGACATGGGAGACTGTGTGACGGATGTTGTTCTCATTTTACAAGCTAATCTGTAGAGCTTCTTTACGTCAACTGAAATGCAATATCACTTGAATTCTGTAACAAACTTGAACCACGAGTATAGGAGGTAAATACTCTAGCAAGTGGTTCTGAGATAACGATAGAATAACCAAAAGAATGAGCCAATCGAGAAACGGCAACCAAGCCTTCAAATCATTTGAAAACGTTGAAAAGGAAATAGGATCGATGTTGGGAATACAAAATTTGAGATATGTTGCTGGATAATATTATAAACTCTTCGGTGTTGCAAATAAGATTTAAAAAACACATCTCCGGCATATCTAAAATAGAAATTGCCGAAGAACCGGTCTACAAGTCAACACCTCAGGGAGAACAGAAATGCGAGATAGGCAGCTCCCCGATGCACTCAGCAATAATCCAACTAGGGTTGACATGGTGAAAACTCTATCGAGTGCATCTAATCCTGATAAATAAACAGTTTCACAACGATAGTAATGAGACTATGTGAGAACCAAAAGCTTCCCACTTTCAAAGAGGAGACGAGGTGAGAATGCCGATGAGTAATTCAGGGAAGCATATCGCAAAGGTATTACTGAAGCCTTTATTTATTTAAATATATGATTCGTTATGGAAGCGATAACATCCGCTACGGAAACGTTTAGTTTATAAGCCGATTGAGGAGGTTATTAAGAAACATTTACAGATAAATTAGCTTGTACTAGAATGGCATTCTCTGTCAGCTTGAGACCAGAATAGTTGACAGCAATGGTAAAAAAGCCTTTATCCATGATACGAGTGGGATGGGGCTTGGGTGTACGAACAATACTGATGAGCAGCCGGGAAGTGGAAACGAGGACACAACGTTCGAAACAGAAGCAAATAAATTACCCAGACCAATGACACCATGTCTCAAAAGTGATGAGGATAAGTCACACGGACTAATATCCATTGTTTATTAAACCTTCAAAGGAGCTTTGTCACCTATTTTCTGGAAGAAGAGTTTATGTATGTGTGATCCTCTGAGTGAATTTAGTTGGAGAGTTATTGACCGGATGAAGTGAGTTTGGTTCATTTAACCATAAACATTGATAATTTCACTTGCGTACCGGATTCGATGACTACTGGATGCACTAGACTGTTCATTTTACCGTCAACTACTGCTTGAGGCCATCAAAAGACACCGTGTTGACATCATTTTGTAGCTTAAAAACCTTAGAAATTTAAGAAGGCTCTTCCAATTATTTACCTACTACAACGAACTGGGATGCACAATCCAAAATATTGATTATCAGAAAAGCAGTGACAAAATGTTTAGCGGAAAACACGTGTAATCCAAATAAGAGATAAGTTATGCATACAAATCAACGGATGCTAAAAGTTTCCCAGGTCGCTGATCGTAAACACGGAACATGAAAATCAGTCACCGCTGCACCCTTATTCGTTTCGACGAATGACCGCATTTGCTGCAGATGATCAGAGTGACATTCAGAAGCGCAGAATACGTGTTAGGATATGAAGATTGAGTCATTTGAGAAGACCTAGTGTTACGGTAACCCAGTACGTTTTTCGAAATTCCCACGAAGT